ACATTTCTTATTCAATAACACTTAACTTCTGTGCCCGAGGGTCATCACTGGTAAGAATTCCAAAAATATTCCTTCTCTGGAGATCTTTTCAGCTACACTGAAAGAACCACCATCCAAGCTCAAAGGATAGTTCTACTCCTCTATCCCATTTAATCATTATACAGAGAATCCCCTCTACATCAATTAAGCATACAATACTGTGCAGTACATAAAACCACAATAAGCAATACAGAAAAAAGGGATTAAAGCCATGAAAATGCATTAATTTATTCTACGCAATGCACTTGTAATTCTTCCACTTTCAGTCAGGATCACAGTACACTTTAATAGTCTGGTTCAGGGACCAATTAATCCTTTTATATTTAAATCAATCTCTGATTCCTCTCCGAATAGAATAATTTAGCTTCTACATGAGGCCTCCCATTTGATGTCTTTGGGGAGAGAACATAGTTAACCCTATATGGCACATTAATCTTATTTAATAATAGCAACAACAAAAAAAAGCATTATCAGAGAAATCTCATACTGAAAGTAGGACATGCTCTAAAACATGTTAGCATAATCAGTATATGTCATCATTTTCTCAATTCAAACAGGCAAGCTAACCTGGAGCCAAGAGTGTGCCCTTCATCTGACTTTTCACAGTATGTGATCATGCACACACATATTTACTTTGATTATATATAAAATATATATCCAGGAATAAAACCACTCAACACAACCCCTCTGCCCACTACAGTCCGATTCGTCTTTCCCATCCCAACCGAGAGCAGAACTTGGTGATGCTGAAACAGCAGGAAAGGGGAAAAGTAACAGGAAAGTGTGTATTTTATTCAAATTGGCATGTGTTTGGCACCTTGCCATAAAGCTGTGTCATCTCCCTTTAATAACTCTGAAGCCTAATTAATATGGTCAATTCGTTGCAATAGTCATGTGTTACCTAAAGATTTTTACCACTGCATGTAAAGGAGGGGTCCATGTTTTAAGAATATTTTCTCTAAGCAAATGTGTCAAGAAAGCAGTAAGAGTTCATGTCGCTAAGAATGACAACACTGTAGTAAATGCTACTTCTTCCTTTGACCAACAGCAAGAGAAAGAGGTCCCCCTTTTATTCCTGTATCTTATTCACCACAAAAGAATAAGTCAATTTAGTATTCTAGTAGCCACACCATGGATTACAAATGAATGATTTAGCTTCAGAAATTTCAAAGCAAACATCAGCACTTTTCAAATGGTCCATTAGTAAGTGTTTTTAAAAAAATTTAACTGATTAAGTTTGGATGTAGATCCAGTACTAAAAAAAGTGGAGTCTGTATCTTGGCATTACACAAAGGCGCTGCTGACGCAGGAGCTCTGCCAGTTCAAACAATTCAGAAGGGAGGAAAGCACACAGTGAATGTTAGCTGTGTTCACTTCACAACACAGAGAAATCAAATGGTAAAAGTTTAAGATCAGCTCTGTGATACTTAGTGGGAAGAAGACTTTTTAAAAGGCCATGCTATAGGCAGTAATCAAAACTCATAAGAGCACACAGCCATCTAAAGACAGAAATTCAAAAGCCTGACTACATCAACTGTCACACTGAAGGAATATTTCTCTGAGCATGTGAACTGTGACCACCTTTGAGAATCTGGATGACAACTATGACCTACAAATAATCATCAGGTGGAAAATACTGAGTGTCATTCCTCTCTAATCCCCAGAGTAGTCACATCAAAGAGACATCTGGAAAGAACACAAGCCTTTTGTCCTTTTTTTTTTTTAATCTCAAAGTAGAACAGAACACTACTAATCAAGATTAAACAAGTGAACCAAAGCTCATCATCAAAAATCATCATCCTGTTCCTAGAATATAAAGTCACACCAGTTAACAAACTACCATAAACAGGATATGTGTCTTGTGTCGATTTCATGGTGGTTTAAGTGTGTGGATTCAGTCACACTCCCCTGTCTAGTTTTCCCTTGCTAACAAGCAATAATCTGAACTGCCACACATAGACACAAAGATGGTAAGAGACCTTACAGGTCACTACAAAACACAAAAATAAATGCCAGCAGTTAATACGGGAGTGTATTTGGGTAAAATGCACTATTTCAGTGACTGTACCTCTCAGATAGTGAATCCCAAGGAAAAATGCTAGATGCTCTTTCTGGATTCAGTTCAGGATAATGTTTAAAACCAGATCATAAAATGCCAGAAACCGTCCTTTTGAACACCTTTTGAATCTTTCTTTTTTTCTCTTCTCTGCTTTTAATCTAGCTGTCCCAACTCCGGACCCAGACAGCACTGATTCCCTGGGCTGAGACAACCAATGAAAGCCTCACCACAAGCCCGAAGTGCTCCTCTACAGGCCTAGCTCCCATCTCAGCTGCTCTGGACAATTCCCTCCCATCATCCTGCGGCAGAAGATGCACTCAGCCGGATGGAATCTCATCTCCGGTACTTCTTTTTTTAGAGAGAGAGAGAGAGGGAGGAAGGGCAGGGGGATGGGGGGTGAATAACATCAAACATCAATGTGAGAAATATGGATTGGTTGCCTCCCACATGCACCCCAACTGGGTATCAAACCCACAGCCTAGATATGTGCCTTGACCAGGAATCAAACCTGAAACCTTCCAGTGTGTGGGGCAATTCTCCAACCAACTGAGCCACACTGGCCAGGGCTCTCAGGTACTTCTTAAGAGTCCCTGATGTGGCAGGTTATCTCTTCCTTGCCTAGGCTGTGTGGACTTATGACAGACTATTCTTATGACTAAGGGAATATATAAAACCTACTTTAGAAAGAGACTAATGCTTAAAAAAGAAAAAAACAGGATTATATTTGCAAGCCAATGTTAAAATTAAATCTTATTGCAATCTATATTCTTTAACATACCATGTCTAAATCAAAATATGACTGACTGGTTTATAAGTCATTCATACAAGAATTCTCAATTATTCTCTTATTTTTAAAAGTTAATAAATCAGTTAATTTTAAATAGTCATTATAAAAACAAAACAAATGAAATGCACTGATCATCAACATGAAAAGCACAGGCATGCCCCTCCACTGACCCATTTATAAAGAAATAAAAAAGAAACAGTTAATACTATGATGCAAAGTCCAAGGCCAAATGGGTAAATAATTCTATCACCCAAAATAATAGCTGGAATGGCCATTTAAAAGAAATTTTTGGATATTTAATGCTTTTATCTTATATTTTATCTTCTTTGTTAAATGTAACATTCAATACAACTCCAATAGTACTTTATATATACATTAGAAAATTTTAATGATTTATATATAAGTAGTAAAACATACAAACATAATTAAATAAACATAACTGTTCAATCCACAAGGAAATTTTTAAACACAAAGAAAATTAGTATTTCTTTGTCATTTCCACTTGTATACACTTAAATACTTTTTAAATAGAAAGAAAAAAGAAAATGCCTTTATTTACTTACTAGCCAAGTAGAACACCCACCCAAGTTAAACATCTCATAATGACAAAAAAATTAAACACAATATCAAGCTAGTTGTTTTATAGATATATGCAAGAACGTTGTTGATAATGGGAAAATACTATTGCTTCCATTTTATTTGATAAATGGGTTGTTTTTACCAACAAATTTGCACAGGTTAGCTATATGATACAAGTGACATGTTCTTGATAGTCAATATAATAGAAGGTAAAATAATGTTAGTGATTAAAAACTCCAAATTAAGGAAAATAGATTAACATAACAGGGAAATAGGGGCTGACTGTGATGAGATATAGGGAAAGAATAGAGTAAAAATATTAAAAGACTAGTACAATATTCTCAAAGTGAGGTAATGAAAACTTAGATTAGAACATGACAGTGAAAATGGAAACAAAATACATTTTACAGGTAGACAAACCAAGAAGTATACCTTGTGATACAATATGGGTACATTCTTTTTTTTTTAATCCTCACTCGAGGACATTTTTCGCATTCATCTTCAGATAGAGTGGGAGGGAGAGAGGGGGAAAGAGAGAGAGACACACATCGATGTGAGAGAGACACATCGACTTGCTACCACCTATACAACCTCAACCGGGGCCAGGGACAAACTGCAACCAAGGTACATTCCCTCAGCAGGAACTGAACCCGGGATTCTCCGGTCCGCAGGCCAACACTCTACCTGCTAAGCCAAAATGGCCAGGGCGATGTGGGTACATTCTTTAATTGGTACTGTTTAAGACATAAAATTAGAATGAAGTTTTGTCTTTTTAAATATTCAGAAAAAAGAATATTTTTTTGGATGAGAGCAGAAAAATAGGCTATGTTATCATCTTATTTGCAGCCTTTTCTTACCCTTTTAAGAAAAGAGGTAGGCAGGGCATTAAGTTCAGACAGCCATTACTAATGTTGATTTTTATTTTTAAAATCACTGTGCTTTTTTTTGCCCTGGCTGGTTTGGCTCAGCCTTAGAGCGTCAGCCCTTGGACCAACGAGTCACAGGTTCGATTCTGACCAAGGGCACGTACCTTGGTTGCAGTCTGTCCCCGGCCCTGGTTGGGGTCATGTGGGAGGCAACCAGTAGATGTGTCCCTCTCACGTCAATATTTCTCTCTCCCCCTTTCTCTCCTACTCTCTCCCTCCCACTCTATCTGAAGATAAATAGAAAAAAATATCCTTGGGTGAGGATTAAAAAAACAAATACAAAATAAATAAATAAAAAATAAAATCAGTGTTCTTTTTAAAATAGTTTTTTAAAAACTGAGACGAGACAATGATATTCTAGTATTCTTGCATTGTCTCTGCTTAAACCTTGTTCCCAAGGTAACAGCTAACTACTCAATACCAGAGGCTGCATAATTATTGACTACAAAGGAATTATGCTACAATGAGACATTTGCACTTTAGCAGAATAAAAATGACCAGCTTTTTTGTCTTGATATAAAACAAAAGTCTCTGATTTTCATATAGAGACCAGCATTTTCTACTAGACAAGATGACAAGAATGGTTCCATTACTTAACATGTTCGTGGGAAGAGAATGTTACTATTTTCAGTAGCATTCTAGTCTAGATTAAAACAAAAACAACTGAAACCACCTTTATTTTTAGGCACTGGTGACTGCCTCCTTTGGAAGAGGCTCAGCTTTGAAGTCATTCTGTTAAAACATAAATGAAGATAACTGCTCATAAACCATCATGGATGAATATATTACCCATGACCAAAAGGCTTAAATAATGTTAGTGATTAAAATGTCAAAATTAATAGACTAAGAGAATGATTTTATTAAAATGATTTAAATTCAAAGTGATTTTAAATTATTTAAATTAAAAAAAAATTTTAATTTAAAAAATTATACATTTCATATTAACAAAGAAACCCCACAACAAATAAGCATAAACCTTCTTGAATATATTACATAATTTCCGTAACTACAAATCTCCTATCTTTTATAACCAGCCCTTTTTCTAGAGAAAGCACTTAAAGTTCCAGCATAGCAAAAAAAAAAAAAAAAAACCCATTGATACATGAATCATTTTCAGAGTTAGAAAAAAGTAAATAAAATAGGAAGAGTTCTTTTTCACAATCACTGCCAAAACCTCTAATTTACACTGATCAATAAATGCTTTTTGTTGAAGTTACAAATATTCGAACTAGGCAGTTCTAACATAACTAGTATAGGGTCTAAAAATATAACATTCATAGACATTTTATTTTGCCCAAAGTATTCAAGTGACAAAGGTAGTCTGGCTAACTGAAAATTCAGCCTCATTTAGCACTAAAAGAAATTAAAATAAACACTGATTAAGAAAATATGTGAGAAATAAAATTCTAGGACAGGGCTTTTCAAATGGTAGGGGTCATGAAATCAATTAGCGTATTTCAACCAACATTTTTTATTTAAACAGAACAGAATAAAATAGAAAACAGAATTTCAAGCTTAAGAAAGCGAGAAAGAGACACACACAAACACATATATACTGGGTTCTAATGTAAGATCCATTTCTTTGAATGTAGCCAAGAAAAATTTGAAAGGTCTTTGAAATATCAAACGCTGTGATAAGCCTCAATTTTGTATCTCAGTAACAAAGATTTTTCATTATATTGGCCTTCTAAAATATCCTGTTAAAGCCCCCAAATATAATTCACAACTATATTCTTTCAGGTGTAATTACATGAACGTTTAAATTCTGACTGAGAGTTCAACTAACTCCTTCCAGACACAAGATATAGCACAGTTTTCTTATTACTGGTACCTTACTATGTCAGGATGGTATATGAATTAGAGAATCATTGGGAAAATGCACAAAATCTGAAAATTGAAATGATATTTTTGCTAAAACTTTATTAGACAAGTATGTATGCTATAAAATGTATCTGTGTACACATGTAATATGCCCCATCAATAATACTGAAACTCTCTATAGACTGAAAGTGTCTACTGACCGGGAGACTAAGAACAGACACCACTGAAACATTCTAATAACCAGTGGTAGGAAGCCAAACCTTACTAATAAAATTAAAGACTTCTCCCTCTGAATTAAAAGCACATCTTACCTAGAAAAAGATGATTTTTTTATTCAATAGTTATGTCAGCTTAATTTTAGACATCCAAATTCAAATTTATAGTTCAAGAAATGTTCATTTTTCAAACTTAATGAAACTGTTCATTTTTCAAATAGTTAACAATAAACTTAAAAAATATATTGTATCAAACTGTATGCATCAAACATATTAACTCTGTCACTGAGGAGTAAACGTTGGTTATAGGTTCATATTCAAAGAGTAATGATAAACAGTAGCAATTATAGCAAAAGGGAAAGCCACTGAGGAGCCACACGAACTGATCTGAATAAGGTGAACCAAAGTCATAATTCTAGCATTCAAAGAGAAGTGTACATTAAGAAATCACATGTCAAAAAGCCACAAATTCTAGCTTGCCCCTCAATTTAATAGTAGCAGTAGCCAGCCAACTGATTTTGTTTTTGAAGTCTACAGTTAACTAACTTTCAAAAGCATACTTCATAAGGCTGAGAAGCAGAGAGACAGTTTCTTGGGGTAAATGTTTTCCACAGTGCAACCAAGTCATTAAGGGGCAAGAATTAGAATTCAAAGCTATGAGTCACTTGTCTTTTGTTAGGTCAAAGAGATGACCTGATACACAGGACAGAGAAATGAAAAGGTCAGACTAAAAGGATGATGAAGGTCGTTGGAAATAAAAAGTTGAAAAGGAATGTTGTTCCAATATTACTGAAAGTGGGTCTTACTGGGCTAAGAACTCAATTCTGGATACCTAAAGGCGTCTGGTTCTGCAGAAGACAGAACCTAAAGGCATTAAATAATAAGAAAACTGATCCAAGATTGCACTGAGCTATGCTGTAGAAATTAACGCTTCATCATCATTGAGAAAAATGGCTTGGTGTCATTCTAGAAAAGTGTTAAATCAATTGTAATCTTTGTAAGGAAAAGCTGGAAAGCATCACTCACTCTTAAATGTCAGCCAGTTAAGATCAAAAATCACTAATCATGTTTTGGACTCTGGTTTGCATTACACGGTTTTGACAAATGAACCATTCCAATCTTGTTTTGCTTAAGTTAATACTACAACCTGCTTATATACTTAGACTGGGAAGAAGACGGGGGCAGTGGGACAGAGTGTTGGGTGCACAGGAGAAACTAAGCAGGTATGAAAGATTAATAAGAATTAATAAGAATAATCCATATGTGAATAATTGAGATTTTAATGTATTTTGATTAAATGAGGAAGTCAAATACATTTCAATAAAACAGTAGGCAATATAGTAAGTAATGTAAGGTAAGCTTCATCATTAGTATCTTGCAAAAGCACTTAAAAAGTCTAAGACATTTTCTAGGAAATAAAATATATAATCCATTATTCATTTTTTAATGTAAAAGTCTATATTTCTGAAAGATTTACAGAAAACATTATTCCACATGTCATGAACTACATAAGAAATCAAGAAAACCATAGTACTAATTTTAGAGTTTTTTATTAAAGTATGAAATTTATTTTTCATTGGGTGACTTCTAAATTCTTGGAAAGATATCACATAATTAGAGAGTTAAAAACATGAATGAAACATAAAATCTATCCTCAAGGAACTTACTCTATAGGACAAAATATAAAATATGGCCACAGATAAATATAATAGCTCCAAACTGTCAATAAATAAATGACTACATAAATTAGAAATACATAGATTGAATACATAAATTAATTGTGGTATATTCATACAATGAATTATACAGCAACAGAATGAATGAACTGCACACAACAGTTTGTGAAGCTCACAAACACAATGTTGGGAGAAAGAAGTCACACACAAAACAATATAAACTGACTATCATTTCACCTAAATAAAATTCAAAACATGCAAAACTAATCTATAGTGTTATGGGGATAGTAGGTCCTCTGAAAGGAGGTAGTGACCTAGAGGAGGCACATAGGAGGCTTCTAAGGGTATTGGTAATATTCTACTTTTTTTTTTAATCCTACCCGAGGACATTTTTCCATTTATTTTCACACAGAGTGGGGGAGGGGGGAACATAAATGTGAGAGAGACACATGAATCAGTTGCCTCTCGCGGGGTTCCAACCAGGGCCAGGACCGAACCGCAACAGAGGCACATACCGGAATCGAACTCTTGACTCTTTGGTCCCTGAGCTGATGTTCTAACCGCTGAGTCAAACCAGCCAGGGTGTAATGTTCTACTTCTTCATGTGAATGCTGGACATAAGGGTGTGCTCATTTTATAAAAGCAGATGGAGCTAAACAGTTATGATGTGCAAACATCTCTTGTATGTATATTTCAATGAAGATTTTTAAAATTCCAACAGGAACATAAGTATTTATAGAAAGCCCATTACAAATAGAATAATTAAAATATGTGCCACTGAGAATAATATATTAACATGTCAACCTATGATCCCTACTTTCAACAAGACTAAGTGAAGGAGCAAAAGCATGTTCATATGAGAAGATAGTTCTTTAAAAAAACATTCCAGTCCTGACCAGGTAGCTCAGTTGGTTAGAACCAATATGCCAAGGTTGCAGGTTCAATCTCCAGTAAAGGCACATACAAGAATCAACCAATGAATGCAAAAATAAGTGGAATAACAAATTGATCTCTCTCTCTCTCTCTCAAGTATGTTAAAATCAGACTCACATTTCAGATCTATGTCACTGACTAAATGTATCACCTTGCATAAACTACTTTTTATCCTTATTTTACATTTAGTACAATGAGACTTACACACTGGATTATACCATAGGATTACTGTTAGGTTGAAAGGAGATGGCATATACAAGTGTTTTTACAGAGTACACAGCTACGATGATGATGACGACAATGATACATGATACTGTACAGTCAGAATATAAGACACAAGTCCAAGAGAATTGGATCTGGGGAAAAAGTACCTAATTTTTGAAGTGGCTTTCTAGTGTCAGACAGGACATGAGAACAGGTAAGCAAGCATGGCTAGAACAGTTCTAAGGACTCTCATAAAGAGAGAACTATAATCTAGCTGTATTACACCACAGTGACCATATAATTTTTACCTACAAGTGCATGTACTTGCTGACAAATAAAATTTCTTTATTCATAATGCCTATCTAGATTTGTAGGACTTTAGTCAAGACCTTGTTAAGTGTGAAAATCAGTTCCATCTATTGCTAGTGATGATAAACTCACAATCTAACTACATGTGTTTTCTTTGAATTCTCCAAGTAGAAATGAAAAGAATATGAATGAAAATAATCATCAGATATGATTCTCTAACATTCTTTAAGAAATTAATTTTATCTAATCTTAGCAACTGCATAACTATAAGATAAAATAAATATCCTGGGTACTAATTCAAATTGTACTATAATGATCCTAGAGAATTGAATTCATACAGATAAAAGATAAATTTTTCTTTGGTTTCTCATCTTTATTTGTTTCCTTAAATCTTAATAAACCTCTTGAATTTGCCTTTCTGACTTGGCAGATTTACTAAAATCTAGAATATACTACAGTTACTTATATGTATTTGGTTATTGTATTTCCTCCTCCACAAATGACACAGATACTTCTCATAAAGGAATAAAGGTTGTCTTTTCCCTCCCAGATTTAAATATATATGTGTGAAACAAAGTTAACCTAGAAGCTAAAGTGACCAGCCCTACGAGGCAAACAACAGTCCCAAAGAGATTACATTTAATAACCCTGAAATAGCAGAGGCACATTCCACATGAAAGGTACAATATACTCTTAAAGGATGACAAAGACAGTAGCAATATACTTGAGAAGAGATGCTACATCTCCTGTATCCAAACTCCAAAATTCTATCTAATATATCACTTCTTTTGTTCAGGGGTAGAGCTAATTAGCTGCATTATAGATGGTTCGGTATCCACATGACAGGCAGAGTTGCATACCATCTGACTGACTGACGCCAGAATACTCTGTTATCAGCACTTAAATTCCAGAGAGAGCTTTCTAGGCAATAATCTAATAAATGAAGATGTAGCATTCTATTTATGAGATACTAGTGACTACTCTTTCTTCTGCTGGATAAGGCTAGTCTAACCCAAACTCAGACTAATGACCTTTATTATGGTCTCTGAAACAGTTCCACAAGAAGATAGACACTCTGAAAAGTCAATTTCAATACTTCTTATCCATTTGGCAAATTATGATCATTTCCTTCAACTACTGAAGTTGACTCTAGGCAGTCAAAAATATGGCCTGATTTTTAAAATTTGGTAAAATTTTAAATTCAAAATATCTAAATTTAGAAAAGAGAATTAGTACTAAAAAAAAGCTCTTATGGTTACAAAAGAAAATTTTAAAGGCTTATTTTAAATCAATGATCTAGCTATATCTAGTACATTATAAATAGGATTCAGTTAATAAAAATGTATACAGCATGTTTTTGTAGTTAACATCTTATGTATTCTGAGACAGCATTATCATTAGTCAAGGATTCAAACAAAATTTTCATTTATTTTTATTACTTATTTCTGGCAAGAAATATACTAGAAAAAGTTTTAAACCCTTTAAAGTACTAAAAGGATTCAACAAAAGATATGAAATACACTTTCTGACCAAGAAAAGGAATCTGCTAACACAAATTGAAAAGTCGCAATTAATTCATACTTAACAAGTTCTAAAAGAAATGCAGCAGACTGAAAATCCCAATGCTAAGATTGGCCATTCCATTTGAGGCATACATCCTTCTCAGTTTTTCTGACTTCTCATTTTAAGACGTGAACAAGGATACAAGGAAAATATATGTTATTTCATTTATTTTAAACCAAAGCAGCTTCTAAATTTAAACTTCTAAAATTCAAAAATAGTATTTCCCTCATATATATTCTGGAAATAAGTCTGTGTAATTATTGAACTCATAAGTCCATACATGTAATAAAATTAAAACAAACATTGAGAAGATTAAAAGTAAAAATAAGTTCATAGCATAAACTGGCAATAAGACCTTTCACTTTGTAATCATTATCCATAATGTAAGAGAAACAGACTATGAGTTAATCTACTACTATCTTGTTAACCATTTAAACAGTTATTTTTAACTCCCCAAATATATTTTTGAGGATCAAAGGATGAAATGAGAAAACTTTCCTTCAGAGATAAGTTACTAATAACTGTTCGTAATCAATATTGCTGGAAAAAAGAATGCCATTCAATAGGAAAAGATGAGTTTAAACCAATATAGCCAAATAAGTGCAAAACAAGGACAGAATAATATAGTACATAGGGGTTTATGGACTTCCATATCTAACATTTCTGTATTCTCAAAATTATCATATTCTTCCATCCCGTCAGTAACATTCTAAAACTTCAGTTTTTCATGCCTTTTAGTAGATGGACTCATGACCACAAATGTAAAATTCATTAATTAAAGACCATAATATGATACAAAGTATATACAGATGTTACCAATAAATAAGGCATTGTGCCTATAAAAGACACATGAAATAAATACTTCCATTTATAAGTTTATATTAAATATAATGGTCTCCAACTTATGATTTTTTGAGTTTATGATGTATGAAAGAAATATACATCCAGTAGAAACCTTGCTTCAAATTCTGGTCTTTTCCTAGGCTATGATATGCAGTACAATATACTCTCTCATGATGCTGGACAACAGCAGCAAGCCTCAACTGCCAGTCGTCCACAGAATCATGAGAGGAAACAACCAATAGTCTAAAGAAGCAATTTTCGACCTGTGTGCTACAAGAATTTTTAACACATGCAATACCTGACTATTTAGTTAGGGGCACTGACCTCTTTTCCCCACCAGGAACTGGGAACCTTTTTTTCTGCCAAGGGCCATTTGGATATTTATAACATCATTCTCAAGTCATACAAAATTATCAACTTAAAAATTAGCCTGCTATATTAGGTCAGGCTAATTTGGTGAGGTATGTGATGCTAGCTGGTATTGATTTCCCCAACCTTGCCTTAGAGACTGTCAAATAAAAAAAAAATTTTTTTTAATGACAATAGTCAACACAATAGCCATCCAATGTGAATGAATCAGAATTATATCGTTTTTTATTTTTTGTCAGATTAGCAAAAAATATATTTTTTGGTATGCCACAGAATTTTACTAATTAGTTTATGTGTGCCATGAGATGCAAAGGGTTGAAAATCACTGCTCTACAGTATACTGTGTGGCTAGCCTTTTTGAATACTATGTTTCATGTTTCCACATCCCATCCTGTCCACAAAACACCCATCTGTGTCTCCTTCTTCTGTTGAGAAGAGAAAGGCAACGACTCTTGAGATGAAACTCAAGATCATTGCCCAACTGTAGGCTAATGTAAGTGTTCTGAGCACGTTTCAGGTAGGCTAGGCTAAGCTATGATGTTCAGTAGGTTGAATATATTAAATGCATTTAGCCTTAGCATATTTTAAACTTACGATGGGTTTGTTGGGATGTAATCCAATTGAGCAGCATCTATAGTTAGATGTAATAGGATAAAAGTTTATGATTTGTATGTCAAGTCTGAATTGACAGGCAACATATCACACAAAAAAATCATATTCTACAGAATAATTTTACACCTTTAATGATTATAAAAGTGTCTTATAGTATAGAATGCATTAATTATAACTGATTAATATTGGGGAAAATATCTGAATAATGGAACAGAAAAGATTGAGGAGCAAAAAAAATGAACGAGTCACCAAGAAAAAGGCTTGAAATTATGCTTTGAATCTGATGTACGTGTTATTATTTTTAACATAATAAAAATTAAGATAGAGAAGTAACAAATATAAATCACTATCACAAAATCAAACATTATCACCTTACACAAAATACTTGGAAAGTCCTGTCTTTTCTCAACTGCTGGGCAAAAAATTCCTTCAAACACTAAAGTTATACTACATAATGCAACAAATGAAATTCATATGCTGTGGGAAGAAAGCAAAATAGGTTCAAAGATTGTTCCTGCAGGTTCCACAGGAGACAGCCAGGATGATTTCACCTCCTCTGAACTTGGAGCATTTCTCTGTGTACCACTAAAAGTATCTGAAGTGATGCCACCTTTAATCCAACTAGGTACATTTCTAGTAAGTCTCAAAATTTTAAATTAATTTTGAAAAATTCAAAAAGACAGATAGAAAAATAACGATGAGGTACATTTTGCAGGTCAGGATTAAGTGGCCAGGAGAAGTGCTACTTTGTGTTAAATATACTTAGTCTTAAAAATTAAAGAACTATTTTATGGCCTGAGAGATGTTAAGAGCAACAATATATATACACCAATAATTTGATAACTTAACCATAGATTAAAATTATTAGATTGCACAGGGGGATAGATTTTAGAGTCAACCATATTGTAAGTTTACAAATACACATACACATACACACACACACACACACACACACACACACACACACACACACAGAAGTGACACTTATTTCATAAAGCTTTAACTTTCGGAGAATTATTAATTCATTGAAGATAAATAGAAATGAAAGCACAGATATGAGAAAAAAGTTAAAGATGTGAAACCATGGTGTCATCTTTTAAAAGAGGAAGCATAAGCTCAAGACGGTGTATGGACATCTGTTTCTCCTGTTGTTTTCCATCTCCTGCTTTCCCCCTCTTTCCACTGCTGAGCCTCAGCTCACATTTATAAGCACATTAAACACTATTGCCCAGGCTTCTTTATGAGGTCTTAGAAAACTAACTTGATAAAAACACAGATTACTGTTTTCATCTTTAATTTAGAAAATCCAAGTTAGTCATTTTAAAGCAATTTGGGGGGAAAGGTTTTGCCCCTGCCCCAGGTCACAAGACTCACTTATTTACAAAACTAATCTTTCACTAACTGTTCTGACTTTTAAACTACATCTTCTAAAGTTGTCACATATGCATTTTTACCCAAATGCATTTTTTGCTATTTAAAAATAAACCATAGTGCCCTGGCCGGATGGCTCAGTTGGTTGAAGTGTTGTCCCATACACCAAAAGGCTGCAGGTTTGATTCCTGGTCAGGTTACTTACCTAGGTTGCAGATTTGATCCCCAGATGGGGTGCATACAGAAGGCAGCTGACTGATGTTGCTCTCTCACATGCACATTTCTGTTTCTCTCCCTCTCCCCACTCTTGCTCCTTCTCTCCTCACCCCCCTTTCTCTATCTCTCTTAAAAAAAAAAAATCACTGAAAATGTCCTCGGGTAAGGATAAAAAAATAAAACAATAAACCACAGTTATAAATAACATGCTTATTTTAATGTAAGGTAATACAATCAATTCTAATTGTTCAGCACCAAGAAAGGCAATGTCAGAGGGCCTTGCAATTAGGCAGAACTGAGTTCAAAAGTGACCCATTATTAGTAGCCTTAAGTTAATTAATCTCTCCACATTTCAGTTTTCAATGCTGTAAAATAGAGATAATAATGCCTAACTCGGAGAGAGACATAAACATTAAATAAGATGTGATCACGCTCTCGATAAAACAGTAAAACTTATTAAAGTCACTACCACAAATCAGAGTAAAATCATCCACTCATCAGCAAACATCCCAAATTACCTAATGTGAATTTGGGATGTAATTTAAACCTTACAATTCAGATAAACATATAAGAAAACATACTAGAAAGGAAAACCCCACTCCAAAATTCAAATAAATTATGACAAAGTCACATCCAAACAGGAAAACCTTGAACCAGTTCTATTCCACTGGTTTTCAACTCTTTCCAGCAATACTCTGTTCTTTTAGCATGGAATTTTACACATGCCTCAATATATTTTAAAAAGAAAAGGAGGAAAAACTCCCGAGTCGCTCAGGATGGAGGGATGGCTATTTTCCCTCAGGTGGCCTCGCCATCCTGCACTCTGCACTAAGCCCCAGACCCCTTCAGATCCCTGCCTGGAAGCTGCTTTCTCTAGCCAATCAAATTTGTCTCCCAGAACAACAGTGAACTTGGAGAACTCTTTCTGTATCACTCATCTGAACCTGGGGCATTTCTTGTCTTTTGTCCACACCTAGTCCCACCCATGAGAGCAAGGTATGTGTTACACTCTGGGCAGCCCTGAAGAGAATCTACATCATTTTTCTGTATTAGCAGTAGGCACTGAGTATGATTTGAGGGAGAAAAAATAGCTATTTCAATTAAGTATTGTTTGGAATTATCTAAGCTACTGCTTCCTTCAAATAGTATAAATGTATCTAGTTTCATACACCTAAGAAACAGACTCTCATTCACCTTGATGAATTTAACATCATCAGAGCCTAAGACTAATCAGGCAAAAAAGCCTTTTTTTAACTACCACCACAAAAAAATGTTTTCTAATTGAAATGCACAGCTTTGGAATTGTGAGATATATATATATATATATATATATATATATATATATATATATATATATTTAGTGCCATTAATTATGGTACTGCTATGATATTACTAACACAAAAATATGAACAGTAGCTAGTATTTATTATGGGGAGAGGTTAATTTGATTAAACTTCTCTGCTCTTGAAAACTTCAGAATCTGGTGCCCCAGATGTCTGAAGTATGACTGCCTGGGGAAGAAAGCATGAGTGGGAAAGAAGCAGTATTTGACAACAAGCAGCTTAGTTATGTCTTAGACTGCGAAGGGCATTCCCAGGGTCTCATTAATATTCAGAATGTCTCGAGGGCTGCTTTGGCAAAGGCAGACAGGAAGACTGCTTCCACACACAACAAAGCAAGTGAGTCTTCTACAGCACTAAGCTGCCAAAAGAGCAGAGTCCTCTCCTTACAGCTCCTCTGACACCCCTTCAGTACTAAGACTTGACACTCACTACATGGTCAATCTCCATGTAAGTACTACTCAACTATAAATGGCATGAGGACAGGGCCACATCAACTTTGTCTACTGCTACATATCCCTTGCATCTAGGAAAATGTATGGTATGTAGTAGGCTCTTGTAAAAGAAAAAGATTTTTTAAAGAGCATGTGCACACGTGACAAGTATAATAAATGGATGGCAAGAATAAAGAACAGCATTTTCATCCTCACCATGTCATATCAATTTTTACCATATGACCTGAAGATAGTTTTAAAATTATGTTAATTTTATCACAATAATAAATTTTTCTACAAGGCAGAATTACATGTAGAACATATGACATTATTATTATTTATTTTTATTATTATTTATTTTATTTTTTTTGGTACGTGCCCCTAGCAGGAACCAAACTCGGGACTCTCTGGTCTGCAGGCTGACACTCCAACCACTGAGTCAAACCAGCCAGGGCTTGACATTATTTTTGACAAAATATGAGTTTTACCTATAAACAGTTCAAAATTACCTGAAGAAAATACAATTGCAATACAGTAAAATCTTTTGCATTCTGGCAGCACATCAAAAAACCTGCCCCAACTGGCCTAATATTGCATGGTCAGCAAAGAAGAAAGTGAAAGAGTCTTCTACTTTGCTGCTTCTCTAAAAAGGGAATCACAAGGGGCCACTAAGTAGTCAGATACATTATATTATTGCTTGCAAAACCCTTGGGTAATAAAGAATGAGTACAAATTGCCACAGGCAGTTTTGGAGGAAAAACAGAACTGTGCAAAACAATGACAGCTGCCGACTGCAGCACTGGACAACTGCAGTAAACAGTGCGTCAGTTGTAGTTTTTCTGCTCAAGTAGAGCACTCAGCCATGTGTAAGAAGGAGCTACACAAGCACATAATTCTGCAGGATCTGGGGTAAACGCAAAGTGGGAAAAGGGTGAGAAAACAGTGTAAACGCATTTTATAACATCTACAGTGAGTCAGATTCAGTTTCCATTCTCTTCTAAGTAAGGAAGGCTTATGGGCAGCTACAGTGAAAAGTACATACCCCAAATACTTTGCATTGAGGGAAACATTCATGCTTTTCCATGAAAATGCTAGGACATAAAAAAGGATACTTCTTTAACATGGTCTATAATCAAAGAAAACAATTTATTTTCTAGGCAGAGAAAACTAATCCATGTCACATCTTGTACGAGTAAGTGGCAAGAATGCATGTTTTATTTTCATAGGATTCGGAGAATAAAATTAGACTCACATCTTTAACCTTGCTTGATGGATGTTGTAAAATATGTCATATTTTCTTCTAGAAACCAAATGCTCTACTCTACCCTCTTTACTGTACTATTTTAAAGTACATGTGAGAACATTTTTAATACACTGATATCTTTTTAAATTTTTTTTTCTTTATTGACTTTAGAGAGAGAGGAAGGGGGAGGTAAAGAGAGACAGAAACATCGATGACAGAGAACATCGACTGGTCGCCTGCTGCATGCCCCCTGTTGGGGATTTGGCCCACAACCTGGGTATGAGTCCTAGCCAGGAATCTAACTGGCGAGCTCTCTGTGCATAAGTCAATGCTCAACCACTGAGCCACCCCGGCAGAGCTCCTGTTAAATTTTTAAAGTATAAGAATCCTTTATGCCCTGGCCAGTCTGGCTCAGCAGTTGGAGCATCGGCCTGCGGACCAGAGAGTCCCAGGTTTGGTTCCCGATAGGGGCATGTACCTCCCTCCGCCAAAAGAATCCTTTAACATCATGCTTATAAACAATGTAAGAGTTTTACTTTCAACTGCATACAGAACCTCATTATAAAACCATGTAAGAGTTTTATCTGTGACAAAATATAGAAAACCCATTTCAGAATTTTCAACTTTCAAATTTTCATCATAAAGAAGAAAAAAAATCCTCTACAGCAAAAGAATCAACTCTACCGGCTTCCAATAGATGGCATCAGTGGTCACAAACAGCCACTCCAGTACCTGCTATTTCATCCTCCACAGTCATGCTTAGTTTTATGCAGTTTTAATAAAATGACTGACCCTATCATTTTAACAAACACAAAAGCAATACAAATAAGAAATGTATAATCAACAGAAATGAAATCAGAGATCAATTTTACAACCAGAAGTGATGAGAAAACAATATTTGTCAGAAATAATTGTGGAGGACAAAGTGAACCCTGCAATATTGGAAGTAATAAAGAAATGAGGAAGTTACAAGATGGAAAGATAGTACAATATGATGATCAGTATCAATCAGTGTTTAAATGCTTACTGGCCTAATATTAATTCAGGAGAATTTGGAAGATCAACAGGGTCAAAATGTTATAGCGGAAGAGTCAATGAACGGGTTCAAGGCCAAATGAAGTCTGCACAACACTAAAATAATCTGTTGATCATCAGATGGTAGGTGGTCATCACCTGTCTCAACAATTCTAATATGGGCCACAGAAGTATGCCTTGGGAAAAGGTACTTGATAGTACTTATATTGGCAAGAGCATACTTGGTAACATAGATGATGGGAGGAATTCTAATCAGGGAAGATAAAATTTAAAAAAAAAAAACAATTTTGATTCCATATTCCTATCCATAAGGCATAAATGAACACATATCCCAATATGTACCTGTTTGTTTTAGAATTTTCTACATGCACCTGTATATTTAATTGAATCTAAGATATCATTATTTTAGACATGGTCTTTTTATTAACCACTAAGAAAAAAATACTAACTATAATTCTTATGTAAGAAACATCACAACTTGAAATATTAAAATGTGGAAGGAAAATACATTTTAGAACCAATGACATGCAGTATTTGACTAATACTAATGTATTTTTTTATATTCTAAAACAGACACAAAGTTGGAATTGTTAGTAGGAAGAGAAAAAAGACACGAAGTAACATTTTTTCTAGCACTTTAAGAGACTGTCTTTTGAACACTGGAGCGCTTTAAGAGACTTTTGCAGACTGGAGATCTACTATCAGGACACAGAGTGAAAGAATGAACTGGTACAAGATGATAGATTTCAATAAACACTTAACTGAAAAAATAAGTACATGTTTTATCTCTTCTACTACATTATACATCATGTGAACATGATGTCTGACAAACTCAAAGAGAAGGAGAAAAACCAGACAATAAACATTTCTCATAAAGTACCTCCCCCTACCCTAGTCCGAGTTTGTAATTAAACTAATGTAAGTGGAGAGGTAAAGGGCACATATTTTAGAGCAGACCAACTTTGGATCTGGAGCATGACTATCTATGCCACCCACTATGAAAACACTATGGACACTTCAGTGTTCTCATTTATAAAATGAAGATAACAGTTCTTACCTCATAGGATTTAAAATGAGGGATTAAGTGAGTAAATGCACATAAAGCTTTTAGCAAAAGCTCAGAACACAGCAAGACTCAATAAACGGCAACAAAGGTATAACAGGTGGAAATTTACTTCATCTATTAAATAACTTTAGATTATCTGGGGTGTTGGATGGAAAGATGACATTTGAAAGTATTTGACTTAACACCAGTTTTATTCATCAAGGCCACTTTTAGATGTCACGATCACTGAATGTGACACACAAATACTTAAGGGATCCATTCTTAGACCAAAATCCACTTTTGCCAATAAATTTCAGTGCAGATCAAATAAGGGAATTGCACCAAAAATTGCATGTTGCTTTCCTTATCTGACATCAGATTCAGGTGGTGGGGTACCTTGTTAACCTAGCGCTGGGGAGCTAGTTCTCTGGGCCTCAAATGCATCTGCCAGTTGACAATGCTAATGGGACAGCAAAGCACACTGTTAACAACACAAAGCCAGAAGAATCTCCAAACAGCAAGGCTTATTTTAACAGGACACAGTTTTCTTAACCAGTGCTTTTAAAAGAAATACTAATTTAAATAAGATTTTATTGATATTCTGTTCTCTAAGACTGTATTCTGCTGACTACCACTTTTCAAACACTAACATTGTTCACTAACAATTTTCAAAAGCAAACACTTCCAATATATTGTTTAATATTTCCAAAATGATCAACTAGAGCATTCCACCGTGGTGGAATGTGGATAGCAAAACACTGACAACATCTGTGGAAAACAGAACAGTAGAATCACTGGCCTATAAATTTGTTTCCTGACCCCTGCCTGTCTGTTTATTGCCTTAGGATTGGCAATATCTATTCTCAGAATAAGAAATCTGAGTTCTATCTACTACCTTGATTGACTTTCCATGTATGCTTTTCTCAGAATGTCGGTGTTTTGGATCTGAACTGTTAATTTACATTTTAAGGACTCTCAGCCTGTGTTCTCCCTGGAACTGTTAAGATTCTAACCTGAATAATACCTATTACTGTTGTACACAGCCATATGCTACCACTGCCATCGCCCTTGATGCCCTCATGGTGGCCCATATTAAAAAAGCACGTCTCCAAAATATAGAAATCTAAAGGGGAGAGAAAAGGTAGGTCCCCAATTTGAGGTTCACAATCTGAGCACTCTGGTTCTCACCTAGGGAATGACCTGGATACAAGAGCCAAGATATTTGAGAGAATACAGCACTGAGGTCATGACCTAGTCCACAAGAAAGATAAAGGTGCTGCCTCCCAAAAATGACTGAGAAAAGCTCAAGGCCCAAGGACACAGAGGCTCTACCTCATTTGACTCAGACACCCTCTCACTGCAACAGCCCATAAACTAGATGATTGGTAAGCCAGAAACTTAGTGGTGGAAATGGAAAATAATCCCAAAGAAATCCTGAACAGCCCTATTAAGGTGATAATTGGAAACAAGATCTACTGGCTGAACTCATCCTCCATTTAGAATAATCCTAGCTTTTGTCTTTTTCCCTAAAAGATGCTGCCTCGTCTAGCTTCCTTCATTCTTCAAGACCTGATGAGTTTTTTCAACTCGCTTGGGTTCCCCATCTTCAACCAGCATGTGAACTACCTGGTCTGGTGGCAAACCCACCCTGACCCGCATTCTTGACCAGGTCACCCAGTCTCAACACTGGGAACTGAGGTCTGAGAGGCCAAGACAGAGTGGTAGGGATGAGGGCAGGCTCCGGAGCCACAATGCCAGGCTCAAAGCCCTTTTACTTACTGGATATCTAACTTGGGGTAAGTTACTTAATCTCTTGGCACTTTAGGTTTTACACATTCATAAATTATATTATTTAATATATTTTGTATAATAAGATAATTATTACCTATTAGGATTGTTATCAGTATTAAATGATCTATTAAAATGCTTAGAAAAGTAGTACACAGAACTGCTCTATAAATGTTACATCATTTATATTATTTCATTTATATAGTTTTATAAGAACCAGAGGCTTACTAGCAAAGAAATACTGCAAGAGTATCATTTGTTGCTTATTTAACTGTTTTACAAAAGAACAAATAACTAGTTATATGTCAATTATATCTCGATAAAACTGGGGAAATTTTTTAAAGAAATAAAAACTATCACAGGAACAGACATTAATTCCTAAATCTGCCTATCCTTCACTGAATTGTTGAAATCCTACATAAAAAACAAGACACTGTGATAACACATTAGTTATCAGTCAAGCATCCATTTAATGGGAGCAGGGTGAGGGCAAGAGAGAAGGGGGAACTTCATAGATACAAAAAATAATTACAATAATCTGTAACCTCTTGCAATTCTTGGTTTGCAGACTTCATAGGATCAGTGTCAGGGACTAATCTCGCCCATGCCTTCATCTTACCAGTAAAGAAACTGGTATCCAGAAAGAAGATCTGTATATTATATAAAACCTTTACCATTATTAACACACTATTTTATATTAATGTAAGCATCATGTACATTTGCTATTCTTGATCACTTAGAAGCACATTATACATATTATTTTAAAAATCTAAATAATATATATATATCCATATTTGGACAAGTATTTTTGCTTAGTTATTAGAAGTTAGGGGAGTTCTCAGTTATTGACTAATTATAAATAATACAACTATATAAATATCTTTGAGGAACAAGTTTTTTTCCACAATACCATTTGTTTAAAAAATGGTATTATTAGGTGAAAAAATAATATGAATTTTATAGTTCCCATTTTTGTGGTGCCATATCACACTGTTGAGAAAGACTGGACTCGCTGACATTCATTCACACAGTGGCAGTGGGTAAATGGGTAGGCTACCCTTAAGTGTCACCAACTATTTTGGCATTTTGTTTATTTTTTGCTTCTTTAATAGATGTGAATTTGTACTTCCATTTGTTTTCCTCTGCATTTAAGAA